AGAAATTGACGTATTTTATTTTGAGTTTGAGCGAATGTGTCTTTGGCCAAAGAATTCTCGAACTCCTCAATCGAAGAAGAGTTCAACAGCATCACATACGACGGCAAGTACAAATGAAGAACAAGAGAAAGAGAGTGAAGTTGCCGAAATGGATTATGTGACAAGTTCATTAATAAATGCAAATGATATTGATGTGGGAAGTGGTGATGAAGAGAAGGAGGGTGTAGAGAGTGAGGAGAAAGAAAATGAAGATGAAAAGTGTGTGAGTGATGATGAATGTGGTGGTGATGATGAAGACCTGTTCAATGAATGTGATCCAAATGATCCATGGGTTGTACTCACAGAAGGCAGTGAATATAATGATGAGTCTGAACAGAAGGTGATTGGAGAAACTCTTGTGAAAGTGAGAAAGTTAATTGCCACCATCAAAACGTCGACTGTTCTATCAGAATATATCAATACACTGAAAGAAAAAGATACATTCAAGGCACTTCGAAACAAGAGTCTCATATCCGATTGTCCTACAAGATGGAACAGTACCAGTTATATGATCAATAGTGTGCTCAAACATAAACTAGATCTTCAAGAATTTGCCAAAACCTGCTATGAACTCAATTTGCCTAGCAATCAACGACGAAAACTATATGAGCTAGAGATCAGCGAGAATGAATATACCATTTTGGAAATTTTGTCTTCTATTCTTACACCTTTTCATCTGACAACTCAATTGATGAGTAAGCAAAAAGATCCATCTATGGGTTTATGCGTTTTCTCTCTGGCAAAAATCGAATCCTATCTCAAGAATGATATATCGAACGATGATGCTGTGAATTCATTGAAATTTGCATTGTATGAAAAATATAAACAATATTTTGCGACTGATGGAGGACAACGAATGTGATTGTTTTTCACTGCTTATTTCGATCCTCTTGGCTATGCAGTGCTCGCAGATGATAACAAGAAGTTAATAGAAAAAGAAATCATTTCTTCGAGCAACAACAACATCACTGTGGCCTTGTTCATCCGCCTTGTTCATCCGTCTTGAAGGCTACCAATCGTCACTGGCTGCCAGTCCTGGGATTCGTAGGAAATCCGATATAACGCCCGAAGCGTGAAAAATCAAGGTCTCGCTTGACACTCAATTTGAAAAGGACACCCTGCGCTATCAGTCTGTGACAACAAATCAATACAATCCTTCAAATCATACATCCTACAATACAAGATTTCAGAATGTGGAGTATTTAAGCTATTCTTTATCCTTTTCACAGGAAATCTAAAAAGAAACCTCACAAAACCCGATGGTTTTACAAAAGGTTTTCTGGAAAACCTATCTCCAAACGAAAAGTCGTGCTGAAAATACTTGATGAACTAAGTGTATCATGATGCGGACAAGCCGAATAAGTGACAGAAGTTGGAGAACAACACTTTAGCAAGTTTCCTAACTAGTAAGAATCAAGAAAAACTAAGTCTTACCGTTGTCTGCGCCGGGCATTCTTGTCGTTATCTTGTTTGAACAATATTTATATCAAATCAATAGTTCGGTATCGAATCAAGCTTGGAAGAAATACTATCACAGAAATCGCTTTGCTTCCTTTTTATATTGTGAATG